CTGCTTTCTGCATAAGGAAGAAACCAGCAATTTGCTGAATTGCTTCTCACTGAATAACCCCATAAGAAAATCGAAGATGTGGAAGAGAAAAGGCGGTGCCCGTGGTCGAAGTTCCCACAACGACAACTACCGTAACCTGTAAATATTTTGATTTTCCGTATTTGTTTTCTCGTTTTTCGCCGCTTTTAGTCGATTTTTGTTATTTTTCACCCAAATAATTCGAAAAATCAAATTCTGTTTAGTGAAAAAAAAATTGAAAATGCACGAAAATCGAGATTATAAACCCGGAAAATAACAATATTTTAGGTTACCGTAGTTGACGTTGTAGGACCTTCGGCAACAGCCACCTCCACAGCTCCGATTTTTTTACCAGCATCATACATTTTTCGCATAAAAATCAGATATGTTGACTGCACAAAGCTGAACAGAGTAATTGGAAGCGAAAAAACATTTCAAATTAAAAAAAAAACTCTTATCAGGTCGAAATAGTCAAGTACACAGAAAAGCGAATCAGTGGAGGTAAATAACAAAAAAGTGTCCCGTGACAGAGAGAAAAGGCGAAAAAACTACAACAATTATTAAAAACTGATCGAAAATCATAAACCAAGGATTCCTATAAATTAAGAAGATCTGCTGCTAATTAAATCTACTTCTGCTTGAAAAGTGGCGATGCGTAGAGATAGACATTGTTGGGCATTCGAGAAGCTGAAAAGTAGATTGGAAGAGAAAATTGCAGCAAAGAGTCTTTGCCAATGACTACTCACTGAATTTGACATATTGCCGTAATGAATCACGCATTTCCGACTCGCTTTTCTTGCCAATATCAATCTTTCGAATGTAGCAATTCTGCAAAGATAAATGGGGTTGAAGACCAAAAGAAACAAACAAATCTTACAAAAATGAGTTGTCTTTCATTGAACCCATCAATTGCACTGGGCATCAAATTATCCAGAGCTCTAAGAACCTCCATTCGCTTTTCGATCCGCCGCTTAGCACCTGGGAGAGGATACATCGAATGCATTCCATGGAGAAGGAGCTGAAAAATAACTAGATTAGTCTGTAACTTAAGAACCTACGAACCATTTCACTGGTATCCAGTTTGTCTATTGGTTTCAGCCTGTTTTCATCGGATGGTGATGGCTGAAATTTATAAATAGAAACCCATGATTTCCTGCTTTTTTTCAACGTACACTGCCAAAAGTGCTGAGCAGCTGCTCTCCACTAATGAGCGCTTTGGTGACTTCCAACTGGAAAAACTCGCGTCTCTGCTCATCGGACCAGAAGTGACGGGTCAGCACAAGGCGTGGGAAGAATATCCTGGAATAGTGCTTTTTGTTTTAAAACATAAGGATTATGAAGTGTGAAAAGATTGACATACACAGCGAAAGCAAAGACGTAAACACTGAGTGGCACGGGCAAAAGCGCAGTAACAATCGCCATTTTTGGTCCCTCGACTGGCATCTGAAAAGCGAATGAATCGAGAAAAGACACTCCAAAATGATGGGGATTCTTAGTTGCAAGTTTGCCCATACCTTTATTTAGATGCTAAGAAATTTTATGTCAAGAAAAAAAATGGAAAAAGAAATTGTGGGAAACCACATCAAAACAAAACTAGAAAAAAAAAGTTAGGACAACTCACAACATTAGAATTAGAATGTCTCCAGGACCGGGAATTTGCAGAATCACAATGAGGGTGAGCATTTTGAACAGCTCGCTGCCGCTCTATATATTTCGAGTATTCCTACGAAAGACAAGCAAAATTAAAGAGTTTGTGACTACCTGGACCAGCGTTTCGAGTTCTTCGACAGTGAGATCGCTAAGCTTCTTTTGGCCAGTTGTCACAGCTTTCTTTGTTCTGAAGTACATTTTGACGTCGGCAAAGCACCATCGAGAGCCTGAATTTAATAACAATTTACAAGCTCTGATGAGTATTTGAAACCTTCGAGAACAGTACGATGAAGTGCCAACACTTTAGGCCACTTTCCAATAAACTTTTCGTATTTGTAAGTCAAGGATCCTTCTTTCGCAGGAGTGGATGGAGGCGGACCAGCAGATGTGTGTCTAAAAATTGAAATTCTTTTTTCTAAAATTCCACAAAAAACTACCTAACGGCCACTAAATAGGCTGGCTGCACTAGCACTTTGTTCCTATTCAGAAGAATCCTTGACAACGAATGCATATCTTTTAAATTGGTTATGGTGCTCCAATATCATGAGAATAATTTACAAGAGTATCATGGATATAATAACCACAAATATTAGAATAAATAAATATGTAAGATAAATACAAATTTTCATTTTGGATAAAAATTAGGCCAGGCAAGTGTTCGGATGAGAAGGGATCATGGACTGGAATGAAGAGTTAGAAGGCAAATAGAGGCAGAGGAAAAAAACCGGCCTATTTAGTAAGTACAGTATAATACCGGATGGGATGGTACAAATATGATACATTTTACCCTTAAAATTTGTTGTAATTGTTTTCATAAATTATTGCTAAAGTCGAGTGACTTGAGGTGTTCCGACAGAAGTGCTGCTGTTAATTCGAATGAGATGACGGTAATCAGTACCGTTAGTTTCTTTGTCTTGAACATTTTTCAACTCCTCATCAAGTTCATAAAGTGTGCTTTCTATTTCGTCGTCATCTTCAATTTCGCTTCCTTAAAAGGAAGACATTTAAAACAAGGCTCATTAAAAAAATGCACTCACGAGTATCGTTATAAAGTGCTTCAAGTTCTTTCTCCCTCTCTTCGAGAATCTTCAGTTCTCGCATTTTCGTATCAAGCATAAACCTCAATTGAATCGACCGCATGCTGAGTTCAACTATTCTTGCAACGTCTTTAAAAACGAGAACCAGACTGACTTGGAGGCATTGAGCAATGGAATCGACTATCTCAGCGTGTGACGCTGTCACCACACTTTTCTCATTCACAGCAACGACCATATCACCTGAAAATCAGAGTATCACAAAAGTAGTTGGTACAAAGAATCACCTCTAATTATTCCACAGCGATCGGCGGGACTGTCTGCAGACACATAATCCACGTAGGTGATGCGTTCATAACTATTCGAAGACGTTCTTTTGAATACGTATGATTGGAGAGCGAAACCAAAGGAAGTTTCAAAATTTTGACGACATAGCAGTATGCTTCTTTGGGCGGATTCTTGACTAATTCCTTGCAGTAAATAGTCGTTTAATGGATACTCCTCCTGTATTTATTAAAATTTTAAAAATCGGTACATTCATAAGAAAAAAACCTTTGCATCGCATAACAATTGCTCGTCTGATAGATTGTCATCTGGTGATTCAAACTTTGAAGAGCTTGTCGTCGCTGAGTTCGAGGAAAACGCACTTTGAGAGTCAGCGTGGTCCATATATTATGTGCACCTGAAAAAATAACATGGTCGTTGAGTATAAATCGACTCCGTTTGGAGTTATGGATTCTACAATACGAAATAAGTTCCTCTGCATGCAGCTGCATACTATTTACCAATTTGGTTTTTAGTGAGAACAACATGTGTTGACAGAAAACAAGACAGAAAACAAGAAGCTGAAGCCGAAAGTATACGCAAACACGTTTCACAGGAAAGGCATCATATCTTACGCGCAAACGGTTTGGAGAGATTTGAGGGTATTTAGAATAGGGAATTTAACAGAAGAACAAAATTGAAGCAATCTGAAAATATTGGAAAGGCTAATCACAACTTATAAATAACAAGTGTCACAGAACTGGCATCGCAAAAACAACTCCACACAGGTTTACATCAAAAGGGTTACTGTAGTTTGGAAAATGTGTCGTTCACTAAACTTGTTGAAAACAGAAATCCGTTATCGAGTGCTCGGCCCATTTTCAATTTTGTCAGATCTTCTGTAATCATGGTAAACATTGGGATAACCATCGGTGTAACGAGTGATGTAACCGCGGATGACTCAGAAGATGAGTATATCAGAAGTGTAGAGTTGCGTGTGCAGGAGGAGTTATCAAAAATCGAAAAAGTATTGATAGGTCAAGAAGGTTCGTTCAAAATAATTGAAGTTATTGTTTTCCGCACACACAGAGTCCATGTTGGTGAATTGTTTCAGATACGTCAGACACAACTCGCCCAAGCTCGCAACTGTCCGGTACTTCCCGGCGAACGTCACGATTGGAGTTATCCAGATCTTATCCTGTAACTTCCGGGAAAAGCACTATTCCACATCCGAAGCAAGCAGCACCATCCAACAGACGTATAGATCCATATTTACACGAAGAATCACAAAACGTGTCACGCCCAGCATCAGAAGCAAGATCGTCTGTCATCGTCGATGCGCCGAATGAGTCGTCTTCAGCCGCAATGCCAGGAACCTCCGATCCTATTTGTCCGATTAGCTCCATAATTTCGTCAATGGTGACGGTTGGAGTACCTATTACTCACCTCAAAGACACTTTGAGAGGAGAACCCACATCTAGCACTACACAGAAAAATGTCATAACGGCACCACCGGTGAGTCATTTTTTTGTATGAAATTTTGATGAAGAATTTTAGCTCGACCGTATTTTGACAAATCCATTCTCTGAGACAAGGATTCAACCCAATTCTCATCAGCGTCCTTTAGTGGGCATTAATCAATCTAATAACAGTTCCGATAGGAAAAATAGTACAACATCACAGTTTACACGGAGCTCAACTGCATCTGACCGAATCCCAGTCACGGTGATAGCTTCTGATAGAAATAATGAAAGACGAGAATTTCAGCATCGTGCGGTATCCAGGTCCACACCGAGAGCAGATGCACCGCCATTAGTAGAAACTCGAACTGCGTCACCGGCAAGACAAACAGGAAATGTGTCGAATGGTCAAAACCAGCCGTGCCAATTAGATCCTTCACGAGTTACCAACAATCATGGATCATATTCGTCAAACTATCGTAGAAGAGTAAGTAATTTTAATAAGAAACTAAACATCTCGTACTTCATGCAATTCAATTATCTCGATATCTAGATACCGTAAAACCTGTAATATAGCGCCATGGCGTTCTATTTTTTGAAGGGGTGTTTTGGAATGATTCGAGGTAACAAAAATTGGTTTTTTACTTGATTCACAAGGTACCAAAACGGAAAAAAAAATGATACTCAACTTCTAGGTTCCACTGCTACTCTGTTAATTAAATTGCCACTCTGTTACTTTGATGAAATTTCAGCCACTCATCCCGCTCTTTGAACCAGCTGTTAACACAACCCAACATGCTGAACAATCGACATGGGTCGATGAAAGCGCTGGAAATTTGAATGCTCTGCCGACAACGTCCTATCAATTGAGCCCAAACGATGCAGTCATTGCTACATACACCGATCCCTCAGATGGAACCATTCAAAGCACTCGTCCAGATGCTCGAGGATACCCAGATATGTTCACCGATTTACGACGTCAACTTGCCGAAGAGGATAGGAAGAAAGAACCACACAGGAACTCGGTAAATAGAGAATGGGGAGAACCGCTAAATACCGTTCATATGGAGTTTGGAGCAATTTCAAGGCCATCCACTTCAATGTCCAGACGTCCGCCAGTACTTCCCCCCTGCAGCAAGGGTAAAAAATCGGAGTCCGAAAAAAAGCTTCCAAATGTTTCACCATCTGCTGGGCTTTCCACACATCAGCAACAATCACAGAATCTCTTCCATGACAACGGCTACCCAAGTGCGCCTGCCAAGAATGTTTCGCAAATTTCACCAACACCCTGTCATCCAAAAGTCGCCGTTTTTCATAATGAAATCGATCTTATCTCATTGACATCAGAAACAGCGGGAAATAAGACGGAAGAGGAGTTGCAGCAATATGTGAATGCTTTGTAAGTAATTTTTCAAACCAAATACTTAAATAATGGCGCGTTCAAAGTTGATTTCCAGGAGTAATTTCCTGGAAAAACGCTGTCCAAAGCTGCCATTGTTTTCCAGAGGCCTCCGCTTCGAGACATGCCGTAAATCGACATAAATCAACAGGAAGAACACAGTCAAAACGAGTGATACAGTAGTTTACTGTTGCTGTAAATCTGGAAAACAATCACAGCTTTGGACAGCGTTTTTCCAGGAAATTATTGCTGGAAATCAACTTTGAACGCGGCATAACAGTAAAATCTGGCGCGCTCGTATTTTTACACCACGGTGCAAGGGGTTTTCAGGCGATTTCAGCCGTTTTTCGCACTTTTCAAAAATCCGTGCGCTATTCTATTGACAAAAGTTTATGTTGTTTTCGATATATAAGTAACTTCTCATTATTATTACGTGAAAATTCGAAAATTATTTTTCTTGTTTCTGATAATTGTTTCTGAAGTTGTAGAATTTCTACAGTTTATAGACTTCTTTTGAATTTCTGGTTCAAAAATTCCTGAATTTCTGATCTTTTCAGAATTCCGAAAATAAATAAAAGGGCCCCTAACTTTTAACTTTGAGACATTTTTTCTCGGTTCCTGTAAAATACCGTGTTTCCTCTAATTGAAGCCTATGGGCTTTTATTTTTCAATCTCTTTCTCAGACTGGGCTTCTATTTTTCAATGATTTTTTTCAGAAATTTGAAAATTTGGAATTTATGAATTCTGAAATTCAGTGTTAGTGTTTTGGGAAATTCGAAAATTTCATTCTGCAATTTGAAATTCCGGAAAACATTAGATATTTCAGAAATTGAGAAACTTTCGAGTTCTGAAATCACAGTTTCGAAAATTCTGGAATTTTGCATTACCCTATTTTTTCTAATAGAAGCCCATGGGCTGCTACTAGGGAGTGGGCTTCAAATAGAGGTGGGTAGGCTGGCCAAAATGGCGTTTTCTGGCGCCACATGCCGCTTTTAATTTTTGCACTGGCCGCCAGCGCCAGTTTTTAGAGCGGCGTGAATCGCCTGTAAAATTTTTCACTGGCATCAAATGCCGGTTTTTTAAAATATGAATTTTTCAATAGAAAATACTTTATAGAGAAAAGGTTTATAAAAAACGACTGATGATCCGAAACAATGAAATGGAATGAAAAATGATATTTTAGACCTTTGAAAATTTTGATTACTTCTGGAATTATGTTTGAAATTCTGAAAATCTGATGTCTGAAAGTGCTGAAATTTTTTTCGAAATTTCAGAATTTTAAGAAGTCTATGATTTGTGCCATTTTAAAAACGTATAGATTTCATGAAACTCTACTGTTTTCTGAAAATTTCCGAACTTCGAATTTTCAGGATTCAAGAATTATTCGAATTTCCTTCAAATTTCAGTATTTTCATATTTTTTAAGAACTATTTTCGGTGTTTCTACACTGTCATGCTTTATATTTTTGAACGAAAAATTTCTTAATTTCTAAACTTTTGAAATTTAAAATTTCAATATCTCCGAACTTCGTAGTTTTTTTTTAAACCTGCATTCGGAAGTCCCGGAAATCAAAGTTTACAACTTTAAATTCTAAAAACCTAAACAAATACTTTACTAAAACCTCGATCCAGACATAATCACAAAAACTATTGCTGGAAGACTAGTGGTAACTTCTCAAATACCAAATTCGTTCTAACATTTTATAATTCCCATTCTCTCCCTTGAAAATCAATTATCTGACTTCTTGTGAAACATACGACCAAACCGTCAACTGCCAAAACGTTTTTCTTGACATTTGGAGCATTTTATCATTGTTGACAGTTTTCTGCTATCTTTCATAAGAACTGAGATAATCAAGATTGAAGCTACAGTGAGGGGATATTGGTGAACCAAAAGGTAAATTCTATTCACAAAAAGAAAGCGGCGTTTGACGCCGGTTTAAATTTTAAACAGGCAAATATTGCCTGCTTAAAAATTTCGCTGGCTTTTAATGCAAATCACGTGAAATTGAAAGGCCCATAACTCTGGCACTGGCGGCCAGCAACAACCCTAGAGGTGGGACATTTTTTTTCAGTTGATACATTTTTGATATCTCTTATTGAAGCCGAGATAATTGAGCTCAATTTTTAAAGAGTGGGGCCCTTCTATTACAGGTTTTACGGTAATTGTTTCGTTTCTGAATTTCTACTTGTTATTATAAAAAAGTTCCGAATTTCTAAATAAATCAAATTCTGAGTTTCGGACCCTGTCAGTGCTTTAGAAATGTTCTTTTTGAAATTGTGGGGCCTCTTGCAAGATTTGAATTGTTTTCTCCTGCTTTGGATTGAAATTTCTGAAAACTGTATTCCGACTGTTCGAAAGTATTTTGCAGAAATAAGGAGACTTTCAGGGGACTATGTTTTAAGTATCCCCCGATTTAGGATGCTGAGCTTATTGATTGGAACTAAGCTCACTTTTTTGTGTTGAAAATAATTTTAACGGCTGATTTGACTTCTAGGGCTTTTGTTTTTAGGTATCCGCCAATTTAGGGTGCTGAGCAAACTTTTATTTTCGATCTTCAATTTTTCTATCAGTTTTAGCCTAAGCCTATTTTTTGTTGGGGGATGGCATCAGGGATGTGCGGAATGGTCTTTTCGGATTTTTTCGGAATATCGAAAATTCAGTTTTTCAAAATTTCGGAAATTCGGAATTTCACGATCAAATAATCTCGGAATTTCGGAATATTCCGATTCTAAAATTTTAGGAATTTCGGAAGTTTCGGAATTTTTCAAAATTTGAATTTTAAAGCGGAAATTCTATTGTACCATCACAAAGATTTCGACAGCGCAAAAAATTTCAAAATTGATTCCCTTCGAGCCCCGCAAGGAAATTTTTCTTGACACGTTTCCTAAGCCGTAGTCAAAAATTATAATGCCGAGAAAAAAATGCCGAGAAAAAATTCCGAAAATGATCGTAATTTTCGGAATTCCGAATTCCGTTCCGAACATCCTTGGGATGGCACGAAATAATTAAAAGCTGAAAGTAATTCTAAGGGGTAATCTGACTGCGGGGTGGGGTTGTTTTCCAAACTTCGCCATATTTGTCTTTCTATTCTTGCGAGCAATACATCCACATATAATTCGTATCAGACGAATGCTGTGGATCCACGCTTCTTATTTTTTATTTTTCTTATTTTCTTAAAATGTCACGGAAGAAAATATAATATTGTTTAGCTGAAATTCAGATAACAGAAACTAATAGTAGGACAAATAAACGTGAAAAGAATTCCCTCCCCCATCAAAAAAAGCAAAAAAACCTTTCGCATCTTGGTGTAGAAATACGATCTCTCTAAAATCTGTAAGAGAAATGCCCCTCTTTGAACCAATTTTTCTCGGTTCCTTTCAAAGATATCAAAAAGTGGTCTTGACACAGTTTTCATCATGCTTCTCTTTCAGTTATGACAACAATCCACGTCATAAGTTCAAAGAAAGCTATCCGTTCATGGCAGAGGGAATGGTTCAGAAAGATTATCAAACCGGAGAGCTCAAGGTTTTTTCATCCCGTCTGGGAAAAACGATGATTCCCGACAAGCGTACTGATACTTCGCACGACTATGTGTATTTCTTAGTAGTGAAACCAGGCGATTTCAGAGGAGTAGGACATATCAAATTATATAATTCCAGAATTATAAAGTTTTCAGTTTGTTTTCGACACGCATCCGAGATGCTTGATCTCTGCCAAATTCCCATCAGTCGAGAGTATTGTGGTTCGTGGATACGCAATCCTTGCACATTCGATCAACCCGGGCGATGATTCATCGAAAAAGGAGAATCGTTGGATCTGCTGGAATGATTCGCTAGGAATGATGCAGATATTGAGTGGATCTGCGCGCATCCCATTGAAGAAGCAAGTAGTTTGGGACAAACAGCTAGATGTAGGTTTTTGTGTCTTTGGTTCATAATCTTATTTTATTAGTTTCAGATAATCTCTATCCATGCGATATTCGAAAACGGCAGATTTATAGTGAAAACGGTGGTAGCATTAACTAATTCCGGGGAAAAGAAGCAGCACTTCCCAAATGAAGTATTCTTGGTTACAGATCCGGAATACGTCAAGATGGTTAGAATTTTGATGTATAAATTGAACAATCTTCAATGGAACAAATTCAGATGGACGATGACCTAGTCTTCTTCTCGAAAAAACTTCGTGCATCAATCTATATCAAGCAATCGTTGGTTGGCAATGTGGAAGTGCCCCCAGGATGTTCATATCAAGTAACTTTCATCGATCCTCGTCACTAACAGACCCTCTTCTTTCCAGTTAGTCGTCGCTCCGACGTTTACCAAGTCGACGAATCTCCAATACCGGGCACTTCTGCTCATCCACAAGCCAAACGATTTTTGGGAGGAAAGAAAGTGGATTAAAGAGATACTCGTTGAAAGAATGCATGCGCATAATTTATAACATCTCCTGTTACTATTTAAAATAATTTTTGTTAAAAATCTGATCTGTTTCTGAATTGTTTTTCTTTTCGTCGCATGTTTCAATAAAGAACTTTGTTTCATTAATCTTTGCTGTTTGTTTCTCCAGTGTTGTTCCTCTACTGTATATTTTTGTGGTTTTCATTTTTTTCATTCGAGAAAAAGGAATAGTGTTATTAGCCTAACTTAGGCTGCCGCCTCAGAGATTCACGAATGATTCTCGAAGAACATTAACGCCTCATGCTCAATACTCGATATCTGTGAGCCTTTGAATCCAAAATCTTCAATATGCGAGAGACGAATAAGAAAACTTCATATTTCGCTATGCGGTCTTACAAATATCAGGTGAGGCCTTTTTTAGTTGGCTCGCCTTCAAGAAAAACTTTCCAGCCAGCCAGTTCTGAAAGGCCATCGACGTCACCTAGCTTGCTAATGCCTACGAAAAGCGATGATAATGGAAGCATTCATAGTTCAGAAAAGCCGGTAGCTCCTATTCACCCAATTCACGAGAAACGACCAATACGAAACCTCGAAGTAAGTTTCTGACTATGAGTTTCGACGCAGAATAAACCATTGTTTACAGCATCTTCTGGACAACAATATTGAAACTGACGACAAAGAACTATACGAGAAGGCCAATAATAAAGAGCTCGATGAGTCTATCAACGAGGATTATTGTGATGAAGAGGTGGATATTTCTATTGCATATACTGATGATTCCTTTGGAGAAGGAGACCGGCAATATATGGCTATGGTGTGTTGAAGCTAACACTAGTTTTCTTAGTAAAGCCTTTGAAGTATTAGTTAGATTTCTCATTCATCCAATGTTTTCTTGAAGTCCTCTGTCATTATACTTTGTAAGCGGTTCCTATTTTTCAAACTTAATTTTTTTTTCAGTCGATATCACCTCTCCTGCACGAAACGTACGAACCTGACGAACACGACGTGTGGAGAACGGCTGACGACAAAAAAGAAGAACCCAAAAAAACAATGTCTGCGAAGGAGAAAGCAGAAATTCTAGCGGAAGAATTGAAACAATTGTACCTAACGAAACCATGTGAGCATCCTTGCGTCTTGTATCAAAAACCTTGAATTCGTTTCAGCATTTTCGAAGAACAGAAACAAGCTCATTGAAAGGAAATCAAATTTAGAATCTGAATCAAATTTCGACGACATAAACTTGGATGCTTTGACACCTGAACATGTCGAGAATATGAGCGAGAAGGATCAACGACGAGTTGTTAACGCTTTGTTAGAAATTCATTCAAGTGTTTCAGATGATAGTCTATTTTTTCAGCTATGAAAGCAATCCACGTCATAAGTTTAAAGAGAGCTATCCGTTCTTGATGGAAGGGATGATTCAAAAAGATTTCGAGAACAGTGATCTCAAAGTGTACACATCTCGTCTAGGAAGTATCAAGATTCCAGACACTCGTAGTCAAAACGAAACATCAACTGATTATGTGTACTTCATGGTTAGCAGACCCGGTGTTTATGGAGGGGTGCGTATTCCTCTATCTTCAAACACTAAATCTGATTTTTATAGTTCTTGTATGACAAACATCCGCCTTCTCTGGTCTCGGCGAAATTTAAGTCAAAGTTTGAGACCGTTATAAATGGATACGCCATAATTGCTCACCCCATCGGTTCACGAGAACAGTCTGTCCAAGCTGACCGATGGATTTGTTGGAATGATTCACTTGGAGTGATGAACGTCCAACGGAGAGCAGCTATGCAGTCAAGGAAGAAACAACCGAATTGGGATATGCAATTGGATGTGAGAACATTTTTTATCGAAATTTCAAATGTCCGTTCATTTCAGATCGTCTCATTCGACGCCAGTTATCGTATGGGATTATTTGTGATTGATAAAGTAACGGCGTTAACGAATCAAAAAGAAAAGCGGGATCGCTTTCCACAAGAAATGTTCCTACTCACGGATGCTGTATTCAAAGAACTGCGGTCCGGTCAAGCAGTTTTCTATTCTGAAACTATCAAAGCCGAAGTAGTAATCGCAAAAGACAGAATCGGAAATGTTCAAGAGTATCTTCCGTATGAGGTGATCATTATTTATTCAGTTTCCAGTTCAAAGAAAAGTATTTTCAGCTCGTTGTCGTTCCTTCGTTTTCAAAACCCACAAAAATCGAATTTTGTGCCCTATTAATAATTCAATCCACTTTCTGGACTAAATATAACCAATGGATCCGAGATATGCTTGCCGAGAGAACTGATGCTTATCGTATTTGAAATACCGTACTTACATTAATAGACTGGCAGTCGTGTTGAATTCAGAAAAAAAGACCAAAGAGATCATTTCTAAACTTTTCGATCGACTAGTGTCCCAGTCGATTAGTTTAAATACGGTATTCCACAATATATCGCTTGTAAAATTAATCGGATCACTCTCCTCTGTAACATTTGTTTCTCATGTTTTACTGACCCACTATATTGTCGAATTAAAAAAAGTGACACCTAAGAATTTGAAAACTTTTGCTTTTTTTGATCTACGAAAAAGTGCGGCAAAAACGTAAATATTTCAGAATTTCAGCTCGTTCGAGCTACTTTCGCGTTTAAGCTTAGTTTTTGCTGAAAAATAGATTCTAGAGTTGCTAGCGATCATTTTCATACCAAGAAATCAATATTTTGTTCAGAAAATCCCACTAAATTCACATAAATAAATTTGTTATCTACAGTATCCGTTTTCGCTCCGCCCCCTTGTAAATCGACACGAGCGCCGTCTCCGAGATTTTCAGGTGTCACTTTTTTTAATCCGACAATAAAACCAAAAAGCCCCTCCACACCTTTTTCTGTGCTTTTTGTTCTCATGACCCATTTCCGAGAAATTGAAAGAAAGAATAAACGAATTTCAAAGATCGAAAAGATGAGCGCACTTGAGAGAATTTATGAAAAAGTGACGTAATATAGAGAACAGCTGGTGTTTCCTCATTTTTTCTAGGACAAGACGAAGGTGGGGCCGGGAGCCCACGTGCCGATGTAAGTGATAAGTAGGAGAGCAGTTCCACCGGAAATATTTCATATTTTCACTACTTGAACAAACAAAAGAGAATCTTGTGTTGCGCCAAGTGGTAAGCAGCAGAAAGAAACGATAAGTGTGAAACATTCGTGTTCTTTCGATATTTAGGCGGCTTACTATTATTCCTACTCACTCAATTACTAGCATTTTCTACTAAATGATCTCAAGATTCTTGGCCAATTCGAACAAATCCTTCGGGAGACTGTAAGTCGAATTCATTGTCTAGAAGTGGAAAGCTTTCCGGATAGCACTTGAACAATTAAACTGCTAAATTAAAATTCCAAAAAAAATATGTCAAGTCCTCACGGTATTTTTTTGAGGACCCACATATTTCTAGGAAAATATTTTCCGAGAAAACTGGGCGGAGTCAGAGACGGAGCTTGAAATTGCAAACTGCGCACGGTCATGGAAAAACCGTGCGCAACTTGCAATTCATTCTCTGCCCTGACTCCGCCTACTTTTCCCGGAAAATGTTTTCCTCCGGAGACCCCGCAAATTCCGTGGAAAGAAAAAATCGAGGAAAAAACCGGGGGAAATGGGCGGAGTCGAGAAAAACCGTGCGGCAAAACCTTGCCAGGGTTGCAATTTAGGCTCCGCCCCCT